AAGAACTTGGTGACCACACTCTTCACGTCTTCCTTCTCAGATTCAGGTAGACCAAAAATCCTCACATTCTTCATTCGAGCAAATTGATTAGCCTTTTCAATCTCTTGCTCTTGACAGAAAGAGATATGAGCAGACTTGGTAGCTTTAGCATAGGACTTCATTTTCACCTCTAGAGTTTCAACCACCAAATGCAAAGCAGGAGTAGTAACAGTAGAAGCTTGAGAACCAACCTTGTCTTGGATGTCCTCAACAGATCTAGAGATTTGGAGCATGATCTTCTCAAAACTTTTGTGAAAAATCTTCAACTCCCGTATTTCATTCTTTGCAGCAACCAAGGCAAGATTTTGTGACTTGAATTCTTGGCGCAGCACTTTCAATTCCTCCAAAACCGTTTGCACAAGATTGAGAAGTTTGTTTTCAGAATCCATCACGAATCCAACTTTGCAAGATGTTACACAAACTCAAAGTTTTGAAGTGACAACTTCTTAACAGCAGCTCTGTTGAAACTGAAAATTTGCAGGTATGTGCGCCTAGCCGTTGTAAACAAGCTCACAAAAGCTCAGCTCATGTTAACACTCCAGCAAGAAGATATGGCTCTCGCAAGATTCATGCTCCAACCCCCAAACTCAAAGTTTCGAAATGACAACTTCTTGACATGGCGTGACATCGGGTCGCAGATGTGTTGGAACAAGTTGATTTCATCTTGGAATTAAGCTTTTGCTTTCAACACAGGTGCAAGATCATAGATATTAGTACTGCATATCATGCATCTCCATCTAGCTTCAAATATATCTCTTATAGCGGAATGTTCAATTGATGAAGAATACATCACACACGAATGAATCCTTCCATTGAACATTGTTCCATACGCGTGATAATTTGCACAGATTTTCAAACTATGACCAACCTGTATGAGATTCGTAAAACGGAATTGATATAAGATGCAAATTATAAAGCTTGCGTCGTCAAACAAAACAAGCACAAACAAACATCTATATATGAAATATCCATGCAAGTTGATGCATCAAATGCTATTGAAAACGCCCACACCATGCATAAGATATTTAAAAATGATCTGAAAATTGGCATTGTATTGGACGAGTACAAATGTAGCCATTTTAAAATTATTCATCCCACCTAGCTTGAAGAACATTGAACTTCCTTTGTTGATTGAAGCTTCAACAGAGTATGAGTGAGACTAATACCAATGCCAATATATTTAATTGCAAGATGATATGCCATTTGAGTTTGATAGTCATAAGTTAGTTATAAGTGTGAGTAGCTAGCGTGAATACGCACATTGCGTTTTCATAGATTTTGTCTTCAAAATCTTCAGGATTCCATAATATTTCTCAGATGATGACATCAACTAGTCTCTTGTCAATGGTGTAGGTTACATGGTTGGTATCTCTGTCCATATGTGACATGATTGTGTTCACAAAGGGTATTTCAATGTCAAAGTAAATCAGTTTACTTGCTGTAGAGAGTGACTGATATTGTTTCCAACAAATTGATGCTCGCTTTTGAGATGAATGCGGTAGTTCTTGGGGTGAAATGCTAGATCAAACGTGTTCTTTGTAGTCGCTTTTTGACGTTGTGCACCAATTTTGCTCTCTGACCAGATGTTGTATAAAATCAACATGCAACTGCAATGATCCAATTTGTGGCAGCATCTCATTTTGAAATCTGAAGACCATATTCATGTTGATGCAACAAATTGAAAAGTGTCATGGCGTCAACACTACGTTCAACCGTTTTGTTGTTCCAGCCATTTGGAAATTTTTTGTTTTGAAACTACTCAAGAAATAATTTTGAGATTAGATATTCAAGAGATTTGAAATTAGTGATATAAGTCATCTATTTTTAGAATGCCTAATGTACAAAATATTGATTATATTTTTTATGTAGTGTATTGTCACATTATATGTCATAATGAGTAATATATCATACTTATTGTGTCAGACATTGAAGTAAATGTTACCATGAGTGAAGTGAAGCAAAAATTGGTAAAAATTCACAATCAAATACATCATACTCCATTATATATTCCCACATGGCTAACAAACCAAAAAATTATAACATAGTAAGCTACTTGAACAAACTCCAATTATCAACATTTTAAAATTGAAGTAATATAACATTCTATTTTGATATCCATATTTTTTAGATAAGAAAGATTTCTAAAAAAGAAAAATAACCCATTTATCATGTTTGAAAAATCAATCAACATTTAAAATAATATGAATAAAATATCACACTTCAATTAAATAAGAATTAGAATATTATGAAACAGTGCCCACTGACGTGAACCGACTTTAGCTCAGTTGGTAGAGCGGAGGACTGTAGTGCTCGACAGATATCCTTAGGTCGCTGGTTCGAATCCGGCAAGTCGGAAATTGACTTTTTATCGCCTAGGACTTGTGCATGTTGTGTGTGTGGGGTGAGTCAAGCAAACATCCCATGTGAAATAGGGCTCTTCATTTTTACGTCTATCCGATTGAAGTTTATATAGCCTTGGCGATATCTCCCTCAATTTTCTCCTGAACATTTATGTTGTTCGCTTCTACGAAAGTCTGGCATCGCAGTACTCTTGGGACTGAAGAAGACTCGCAGTTTTTTGGTTATCAGGGCAGGGAGAAGTTCTGTTTTTCTACTGCTTTTTTTTGGGTTAAAAAAAAGTAATTGAATAATTTCCTTCCTCGAATCTGAATATCTGCAGGCAAGGCATTTGAGTGCTCTATGAGAAACGTAGAATGAGTGATAATCTATGGAGAAAGAAGAAAAGATGAATTTGACCTTTGTTTCTGGTTTGCACTCGACGTGACTATGATTGCAACCTTTGTTGATCGATCAATCTCTTGGGTAAGAATCATTGAAATGAATTTTGTATTCTCGCTGAGTGCAAGGTTCCAATTCTGGATATAAGCACTTGTTACATATCGCAAACTCGGAGGGAGTTGAAAACTAGATTGCACCTTGGCTGTGTGTGGAGTTTTAATATTACTTCTGAGGTATTAGTTTATGGAGTAAATCCAGATCCTGCGTTTACCTCAAGCGTGCAAGGGTGCACATGTAACTGCACAGAGACTACTTGGGTGTATGGTTGGTGGTTCTAATCCTAACTGATGCAGATCAAAACGGTTGGGCAATCTTTGGTTCATCCATTAGACCCAGGCTAACTCTAATATGTTCGTACAACTCATGCTGCCGCCACTTCAAATCTTGCAGGTTGAACTTCTCTTTCGCCCAGGTAGTTCCTTCCACTTCTGAGAATCTCCGGTGATACAAGTGCTTGCAGGGACTACAAGGTTATTACAGAGTACTATTAGTTGAGCTGACTTGTTTGAAAATCTCAAATGACTTCTGATTTTCTTCGACGAAGTACACTCAAGACATTATGCCAGGGTTAGAAAAGATTCTGGTGGTTCAGATCGGTATCAGACCAAAATGTCTGTCTTTTAAATATGAATATATTACATGAATGCCAGATAGTTTGTCAATCATGCATGGTGAGGTAGATGAGTAATACTTGCTTAGAAATCACTGCCTTCCAACAAAGTAGTACATGAGTGAGCAAAGGAATAAATAGCGGACGAATTCCCAAGAGAAGACGGTAAACTTGAAGATATCAGTAGCATGTATCATACTGATCATAGCATATAGATCATTAATCGAGATAGCAACCCTGTAACCAGACAAACTGGTAGACAAGCACAGATCTCTGACGAGATGGAGTCCTTTAGGATTCAATAGCAGTTAAGGAACAAAGTATTGACGTTCGTTAGCTAAACAAAATATGGTGGCTTGGATAACTCCAACAGTTAGTTTAGTTGCTTTTCCCGCCTCGGCTCATTCCCATAATTAATACTGAACTTATCGATGTTGAGAACGAAGAAAGTCAATTTTGAATTAAACCGAGAGGGTTCATTTTTCGTTGCTGTGATGCACAGTTCCCTCCTGGTTCAAGTTTGGAGAGCGATGATGTATCTCGAGTATGTCACTTGGTGCAATGTTTAAGAAGTAGTTTGTTACATGGATTCAGTACAACAGAGAGGACTGTTGTATCCTAGAATCCAAGCAGGAATTTGATGTACTACATAATTTGAACGGTTCTAAATACCGATAGCAATCAGCCAACTCTCTTAGCGAACATGATATGTCCCACTGACAAGCCTGCTACTGCGGCTTAGAGTACTCTATTTAATGACACAACCATCAGTATAAACAGCTACTTGGTACCGCTATTGATTCCATAAGGAACGCCAAGCACGATGTCGGCACATATATCTCCACGTATTCTCCTGGAACTATATGCAGCCACAAGAAATTATATGCATAAACCATTCATGGATTACAGCAAAGATGAGGACTCCCAAAACAGTGAGTAGATATTCGAGTAGAGTGCTCGTTCTCCACTCATCAAACAGGAGTGGCACTTCCTTGCTCCAGTAGAATGTCGTGTGCTCGGCCATCGTCAACTGCAGTATGAAGGCTCAACTGATACCCTGTTTTGATCACCTTGAGCTGTATACGGATACATCTGGTACGCTTAGAACTGACTTAGTTCGAAAGTGGAAGATTACAAAAAAAATCTGTTACCCAACTTGAGAATGTTTAGCCTTCTCAGATCCTTGCAGTGCCTCGCATCTACTTAATCTGAGGCAATTCGTATTTTGTATCCTTGGTCTAGCTCCACGAACTTGAGTCACGAAATGACAATTTCTTCTGATGCAGAGAGACAAGTAGCAGAATTACTGGTTTCAAGGCACATGGCTGTTTACGTTCTCTTTCTCTCTTTCCCCATCGAAAAAAACGGGATAACGGATCGAAAATAACGGAATGGTTTTGAATTTGACTCTAGAATGAAGCAAACTCGGGACCATAGAAGTTTCCTGGTAGACAGAGTTCGCTTAATTTATCAGTTTCGGTTGCTCTTGGAAGCTTAAATTCAGAGCAGAGACCTTAAATGTAACCGCTGCAAACTTGGACGAGCCGGAAGTCGCTATACATGCCCACAGAGTACAATATTCAATTTTTTCATATTAACAATTGCCTGGATAATGCTGTTAAGATCCAAGTTGTTTGCTGGCAGTGTGAGCTCAGTCAGGAGTCATGCTCCTCCTCTCCGGGTGACAGCGTTCAGACTTCACTCAAGTAGCTGTCGTCATCTGGAGGTTTATACTTCCTCCAGCATTTTCAGGATGGCTTTTTCCTTCAGGAGAATTGTACCTATGCGGGATCTCGTTCCATACTGGAGTAAGTTAGGCCAGCAATCCACCGGCAAAGTACAAAGGACCAGTTCAGTCACTTCAGACCACTTCAGGACCCAGTTGGAGTGGCGAGATAACTCTGGGATGCTCCCGCAAATCCTCTGTCTCGATTAAACCTGAAACCCACTCATCTGCCTTGTTTACCTTATAATTTGCGTTCGGCTCTGCCAGCTTTCATTCAGTCGTGAATTTTACGTTCACACAACTCTAGTGCTTACACCCCACGATTACCTCAATGAGCTTTCAGTGAATCCGAAAGCTCGTGTTCCCCTGTCGTCTTCCGCTTTACAAGTAAAATCTTGAGAGCACAAGTGCGAAATCTTGCAGTGATTGGGGACAAGAGACAGAAAGACGACAACCGAACAGCTTGCTCCCTCTTCTGGCCACAGAACAGAGAGATCTCGATCTGGGTTCTTTAGAAAGAGATCCAGTGATTTCTGTAGAATATCTGTCTAGGGGGATTGAAAGGGTGCTTGGTCCGTGGGCTTCATCTTCGGCCCATCCTGCCTGCAGGCGTTATACGGATACACATCACTGGATGGTGCATGCGGTTTCTCAGTGCAAAGGCTCAGCCCCCCTACTCCATCACTGTGGCAGGCAGGCAGGCAAGCAGGCAGGGCCTCGTGTACACGAACGATCTGGTGTTGCAAATTGCTCCACCAATGACAGCAGTCCGACTTCCGTGACGACAACAGTTGAAGATTTGTGTCGCCCGTTTCTTAAGGAACCAGCCTGCGATGGACACGTGCAGGAAGAGTACGAGGTCCGACATATCTGCATGACCCCAGCCAATGAAGCAGCCTCTGAGTTCCTGGCTCCGAAGACAGTGGCTGGAGGTGCCCGGGCATGGTGGCGGTGAAGAGGTGGTTCTGTTGTCACTCCACTCACCGTGGAATGATAAACTTGACCCACATTGTCACAGCTGAGCAGCCAGAGGACTTGGGCTTTTATTCCCCTAAAGGTGCGCTGAATCTATATCTCACGAAATAAAAAATATCCCAACTTTGATCACGTGGGACTTTTACTATAGATACGGAGGGTGATGGCCGAGGGAAACATTTGTAGGCCTCGCACATTTTCGGTCACGGTCCTGAGTTTACCGGCAAACCTCTGCCACAGTTGGTGTGGAGAATGTTGGATTTCAAAAGCACAGTAGCATGAAATCATGATGGATTGTATCTCTAATTCTACAGATTTTGGTTTAGTTTCATTCGCTACTCTTTGTGTTCTAGTATATTCAGGTTCAAACAAAATAATGAATGAATATATCGCACCATGTTAAAAATCCCAGTCTTATTTATCTATACGAAGAGCTTTGGTTGAATAATATACTTTTGCTGTTCTAAACTTATCATCCCAAAAAACTGCTAGACTGATTCTTTACACGAAGGAGATATTTGATCATAGATATAACTTACTATGGAGCTTTCCATTCACGGCAGCAAAACAGATTTCTGCATTTTAAAGAATATTCTGCAAAACAGATTCTGCTATTTCTGCGGCCTTCACCAGATATTCTAGGTGCTAAATATTATCCCGGTACTCACAAGGAACTATTGTATTTCGGTGGGATCCAATTCTTTGCATCCTTCTGTCCAAGCTTATTCTGAAAGATGGAATACAAGTTTTCCTGATTAAGTGCTATTATATTACTTAGCGATGATTTTCGTCCGAATTGGCACGGTGACCGGTGACAGCTGGAAAACCGTGCGAATCAGAGTCACTCGCTTCTCCACTTCTTTTAAAATCAATGGTCGGTAGTACAATGGAGGCAGTATTTCTCCTTCCATTTGTTAGCCATTGGAGCTATTGGGTTGTTTTCCTCTTGCTGGTACTATTTTCGATTCTTCGTTTCAATTATGAAACTCGGTTTAGTGGTGCGATGTCCTCGTTTCCAAATTTAATAATCTTTTCCCGTGAAAATAGATAGATGTTACAAAGATTCAGCAGCAGCTGCCACTACTGCGACGTTTTTTCTGTAGAAAGTGAACCTTAAGCGACGTCTGGAATAAAAACTAGGTGGGGAGTTTTTTAGGTCAACACTGATCGAGAATCGTGACGCTACCGGGGAAAAACATTCTCGTTCTCATTCCTTCATGAGTTGTTGTGTAGTTTTGATCTCTTCAAGAAATCTAGGAGAACAACAAATTGCAAATAAAGAGGGTATCTTTGTATAACAATCACCCCTTTTACCACTGTGTAGATCACACAGTGGAACTCTTTTAATTATGAAATGTGAAGATGATTTGATAGCAATTACATCAACAACAGTCTGTTTGATGTCTTATGTCGCCAATATATCTTATATAAAATGTTCATTATTTTCATAAAGTGAAGCTGTTGTTTCCCATATTAACAGGATGGCCATCAATTTAAATAGACCATAGCAGGTCTTATATTTCCTTTGTGGATCTGAACATTCTTCGCACTAAAAAGATTGCTTACTCTCTTGCTGTAGCAGGGATATTGGATCTTGGATCTACCATGTATTAGTTTTTTGAGTTACACTAGTTTTTACTCTCATGAGGCTCTGCATGCTTTGAACCATATTCCCATCTTCATTTATGAGTTTAAGATGAGCCTAAATAAAGAATTGATTTACACATGCTCTATGCTCATTTATGATATCAAATAAATTTATCCACGATGCTTTTAAAAAATGTGATGTTTTTTTAATCAAGCAAGAGGATGGATGCCTTTAACATGGATAGAGCGTTGGAATGCTTTATATTAGATGAGGGGTATGATAAATCTACATATGATGATATAGATCAAGTTATAGTTGGTAATGTGATGGTTGTATAAGCTTTAAGAAATTGGTTAATAAGACATCTTTTGAAATTTACTGCAAGTGTTGCGGCTTCAGTTAAGGTCTCCAAATGTAGAATTATGCAGAGAGACGCTAACTTTCTATTCTCCTAGCATTAAATCTATACGAAGCTAAGGATGAGGAAAATCTATGATGTTCGCATGTCATTGAGACACTAAGAAAGAATGGATCAATGTAATGCATCAATATCTCTAGTGTAGTTTACTTTATGAATCATCTTTTTAAATAAACATTGTTCAGGTTATTCACGAAGTGCAATCACTCAGGTGATGCGACATCTGCTGATGTTGTTATTTATACATTGTTTCAATTTGATAATTTGGATATCATTCGTGTTTTAACACCCAATTCTTCTCAAAAGGTTATTGAAACCTAGTCCTCATGTTTCTTGTAATTTTCTTCTTCATATAAAGGTCGATGGTGTAGTCCCAGCATTCCAGTTTGATATCAATTTGGCCGTCCCATAACTTTTTCGCTTTCATCATTTCTATCCAATGAGGACAACATACGAGAACCTTGCTTGAGCTACCAGAGAAGTTACCTTGTAAGCTCAGCTGTATTCTCGACTTGGAGCCAGACGCCAAAATTTGGTCTTTTGGTGTCTGGCTTGACGCCATATGTGGGCTGTTCTACTGGCTACAAAGGTTGACGTCCATGTCATTTGCTTGTGGGTAGGCCACCAATAAATCACATCTTATTCGACGATGAGAGTTGACCATTTGACCACGTCCGATGACCTCTGACTCGATAAGACCAAGATTTCTCTTCCCGTTACTTCACTCTTTCCCTAACGTTTTTCAGATTGAAAGGAACAAGCGAAGCTTAAAACTTCAATGACGAGATTCACTGCATGTCTTTAGTCCAAGTAAAGTTGTCAACTGTTAAACAGAAACTAAAAAACTCGTTTGATTTCAACCAACGCTATACTTACGCGGCTGAAATCAGACTAGGGGTGGTCTCATACACAGAAGAATTGTACGGGGCCAACCTGTGGATTCGTCTCCGTTCATCAGTTGTCTGTAATTTCAGTGAAGGTCCCAGTGTTGGAAGAATTGCTTCTCAAAGACAGAACGCTTCAGTCGTGGCTCCGCAGGTCCCTCTGTCGATCTAAACCTCCTGAGGCCCCGGCGGGTGACCTTCTCCACTTTAGACACTTTAGCAGGAAGATTTGCTTTACTTCACAAACCAGGGAACCAAATTTCACAGTGAAAGAAAGAACGAGGAGAGAAAATGGACCACGAGAGATCGTTTCGCCTCCGTGGGAGTCAGGATGCTTGGAGGCCAGATGATTTGCTGGGAACCCTGGTTCCCTGCGAATGATCGGCCGTCCGAGCGTCGACTAACTCCAAAAAGGCAGGGCCGCTGAATTCGCGGGCTCCATCGCTGTCTCGCTGTCACGACCTTTTCCGATGAACCTCGCACGATTTGTGCAGAAGGCGCCGGACCCACACACCCGTTGTAAACTCCTGGACGCTCCCGCTTGGTGACGTCCCCAAATTAGACCCCTTTCGCATCGAGGGGGCAGCGAGAACGTTAAGCGATGGCGCATGGTCCACGGCTCCGAGAAGATGGTGTCTTCTTGTGCGAGTGCCAGCCTGTTCGTCTACCACGTAAGCTCGTCCACGTCTGCGCGCCATGTAGGAGAGATTAAATTCCACGTGGGATCGGTCGGAGCTCGTCCACGTTTGAGCGCCATGTAGGAGAGAGCGGAGTCCACGTAGGGTCGGTCCGAGCAAGGATCACTCGCTCTCGACGGTAATCTGTTCGTGGACAGCATCTGGGACTAAAAGTGAGATTGGCATTGCGAATTTAATTACTGGAGACAGATTTCGAGTACGATGCACAGCGGACTTTGCTCATTCCTCATGCTGTCTTCTTCGACGGACACCAGCTTCTGTCGCTGGTACCTGAGCTCGTCCCCGTTTGCGCCATGTGGGAAAGAGAAAAGGCCACGTAGGGTAGGGGCAAGTGTGACGGTATACTGTTGTTGTTGCTTTATGGGCAGAATGAGGGACCCGAATGGCGCGAAGACCCTTGCATTCGGCTCGAGACCACGACAAGAACAGAAGTAGGAAAGGGACTGTCGCACGATATGAATCAGGTTTTGGTTCATTATCCATAACTCCAATGAACGAGGGCTCCTTCGACGGACAGCAGCTTCTTTTGTTGTTTCTGAGTTCGTCAACTAGAGTCGTTCTCTCTGTAGACTCAAGCGTCAACAGTCAGAATATGACTCTGTTCTTTAGGACTTTCATGCCGCTGACAGTCTCTTGATGAGGTTTTTAATACCTTTTCTTACATTACTTGGTTCTTCTCGACAGTCTCGGTAGTGGCAGTGAGTTGCTCCAACTGGACGTGGCGTGTTTTCTATCCTCCAGTGCTTATAGGCAAAATGCGAATTGTAATTAAGCTCGAAATGGTTGATTCCTCTCTGCTTGGCTCCAGTATGATGGTGTGGTCGTCGACAAATACCATCTTCAGCTTCAGCTTCAGCTTCATTCGATGCCAGCGACTGTTCAATTCATGTAATTGTTCACCATGTAGGAACCAGAATCAGCCACGTAGGCTCGGACCCACTAATTGCCGCCAAAATTAGATCATGAGTAGTATAATCTTGTATACTTTGGTGGTCAGCTTGATGCAGCGGTGGTGGCTCATCTGTTCAAGGAAGAAAGCGTCGATCCCTGTCAAGCGTAAGTTTCTTCCAACGTTAAGCTCGACTGCTTAAGCTCAGTAAGTTGAACAATGGGACTTCAAGCAAGTGGCAGTGCTTCATTTCGGGTTCCTAAGTCCACAACCTGATTGAAGAACCAGATGAACCTTCAGAGTTTCAGTTAACTCAAACTCAGCCTCTAAAGAGCACTTCACTATGTTATAGGAGGCAAAGACTTCCTAATCCCGAAGCTCAATTGTTTCGAAAAGAATCAAACGAAGAGAGAGAGGAAAGATCGAGGTCTGCAATTTTGAGTTTCTCTGCTCATTGTTGTGATGTCAGTATAGTAATGAAGTTTTGTCAACCTCTTTACCGAAGCCATCTCCACTTTTACAGACCGCCAAAAACCTCAATGCCGGATTCAAACTCTGTCATGGATATTCTTCAAGTTGTTGCATGACCCATGCGCATTCGAAAGCTCCCGAATCATGGAACCGCAGTGAAACAATGTCGCTCGGTGATTCAGTTTCTCCTTTTAACAGCAACCAATGACCCACATCGGTCCAGCTACCCCCGCCATGCGCGCACTGGAGACTAGCACTTTCCACCCTCGATGAAAGCTTTCAGTTTCGAGTTCCTCAAGCTGCCGAATTTATGATACAGACGTATGTCTCATGATTGTCGTCTTTCATCACCCGGGCGGGCAGTCTGGGATCGGCTGCTTTGGCAAACCTGCGCGAGGACACTGATGCAAAATGTCATGAGTGGCCACGAGCCTAGTGATAGTTTTGACCAAACGTTATCCTCTGCGTGTGTCAGAGGAGGTGGAACCCCAAAGGCCCCAGATTGTGACCGTTGCCATATGCTATAGCCACATTTGGAACTTCGGTTCACAGCTCATGTTCGCATTCTATGTCCTCTCCTCTTTTGCTTTCCTCTTTTGAATCGTCACCTGAGTCGTCAGGCACCCGTGCCTCGAGGATATCCTCGGTGTTGCCACGCTTGGCCTTTTGGAGACATAACTTCCTGAAAACAAAGTGGAATACCTGCAGAGCTTGACCCTGCAAACTTATTGCGTCTTCTTGGATTCGAGTTCCGAACTCTGAAGTTCACGAGCGTTCGGCTCAGACGTCTCGGCGATTCAGGGTGATGTAGGTTATTTTGTTTGACGATGATTAATTCGGCTCATGTCCAAATATTGTTTCAATGCCTTGAATCGATTACGTTCAGTTTACCAAGAGGTCGTTGGAACAGTGTCTCGGAGATTGACAAACATTTCGCACAAAAGTGTCAATAGTTTGTCGATCTGCGAACATTGAATGTGAAGACTTGTGCACTTTCTATTCCTAACACGTATAAAGCGACTGTGATCATTGCAACAAAGTGGAGACTGACTGGAGAGAGAGTGGCAGGACTGCAGCTCTTGGAAATTGAGAGCATATGATGAAGAAAGAACGGAAGGCAGCTAACGCTTTGGGCGGAATAAGTTTCGGATTCCCGAAACTTCCCCTCAGATTCCCGAAACTTATTCCGCCCAAAGCGTTAGCTGCCTTCCGTTCTGAGGGTTTGGACTTGCTGACTCCCTCCAGACAGCCGAAGACTTACTACAGCACCAACGTCAATGGAACTCGTTTACAAGAAACCCCTCGCTGGTTGAAACGTTGATCACAAGGCGCTACTATCATCCGATCTGTCAAACAGCACCACGAGTTTGTCAAGTACTCTACTCGTGATTGTCAACCGTCGTCAAAGAGTATGAATCTAGGCGAAACGAGAATGAGTACCGCACTCGATGGGAGGGGAGGAAGAATTCTGGAGCTGCAGGCAAATTTTAGTAACTTCCATATCAAGAACGACCACGGCACGAGAAATGGATGGCCATCGTTCGGCCACGCGGTGGATTAGGACCTGAGCAAACCAAAGCGATTGGAGTTGTAGGTCGTGGCAGACTGAGAAGGGCGTCACAAATCGGAGGACTCTGACTTATATTTCGCTATCCACCTCCCATCATAGTTACCTTTCTCACCTTTTACCTTGAACCACTTGAACCGATCGATAGTTCTCGACTGCGTAACAAGGCAAGGGGCCCTCTGCGACTCCTCCCGTGCACGACTCTAGCGGGACCCACTCCACAAAGGTCCGGGATTGGGGGTTGAGCTTTGGGCTCATACTGCGAAGGACCTGCCCTTTGGTGCAGCTTCTCTTGGTCTAGATATTTCGCGAGGTTTCTTCTGAGGATTTCTGAGGCCTCTCTCGAAGGAACTTGTGTAGGTCTTGGGAACCTAGTGCAGTTCTTTTCAGTTCAGACCTAGCTTCCAGAAGAGATGGGGACCCTCTGTCTTCAGGATTCATCGCTTTTGAACGAGCTGCCAGGTTCTCCAGGCTTAAAATACCGGCAGTTGCATGTCTGCATTCTGAATGCAAATGTCTGTTTGCTGTCACAGTTGGCCTTCTAACTTCCTACCTGTACTTCGCAGCGTGTGGTTTGCATCGCTCGTAATCTGTCCCTGACAGAAGAAATTGCGAAGCCTAGTCGCAGATCCACTTTTCAGCCGATTGTGTCAGGGAGAGCATTCGAATTTGCGAAAATCATCTTAAAGCTGACGAAAGGGATAGCCGTGCCAGGCTCCAAAAGGAGAACCACATCACAACCTGTCATGTGCCCAGGTTTAGTCTCACAGGTTAAGCGCTATGAGGATGCAGCTTAATATGAATTTCGTCTCTTGCCTCCCTACGATGGACATAAGCTTTTTCGTAAGTACAGTACTGGCTGAGGGCGTAAAGAAGTGAGGAGACTACAGTAGCAGTTCTCTGACGTTACAATACGGCTAGTCTCCGTTTAGAAACATAGTTGGCCTTGCAACCGCAGTCAAGGGCTCCACAACCTCCTCTCCACGATCTGCCAATCCTGTGAACCTGTGGGAAGGCAGTCCGTGAGGCCACCTTCCCACAGTTAGGTTGACATAAATGATGGTCACTGTCTCGTACACAAGATAGGTGAAGACTCGGGCTGCTTTCAGAAACCCAGATATGTCGACGTCTGGGCGTGCACGTTGACAGTCCCACCTCGTTTGCCAACCAACATCGTGCTACAGGAAACATCTCCCAATCGTTTAGAAATTATTTCGACCTAGAGGCATTGTCGCCTTGACAGATGTTTCTTCCACTCCATTGCCACGCTTGGAAGAAATAAACGAGCCCACGAACAAATCGGCCTTCTCGAGATGTACACAACCCGAAACTCAAACAGAACACTCAGTACGATCACCTGTACACTGACAAGGCACTGTAAACCCCAAGTATCAACTGTTTCAACTACAGGAATCAAATCATCAGCTGACCATCGTTCGATTACTTGGAACATCCACTGTAGATAGAATCCACTGACAAGTGTCGCAACAGCGTTCAAACATTTCTTCGGCGGATCATCGACAGTGGGTGTAAAAAGTACATTCCACGACATTAGTACGACGATTTGATACCCTGAACTTCTCGGACGAGAACATTGACTACAAAACACGAGCAAAATGCTCTCGATCCTGGAATGCTGGAAAAAAATTTGATAGAACTCAGTCCATATTTACATTCTTCTTCGGCTGACATGTATGTGTCGCGTAGTACAAACTCTTACTATCTAACAAAATTTAGCGTGGTGGTGGTGGCGATGAACGTCACCGCCACAAAGAATATACTTCAAGTACAGATGCTGGCAGTTTAAGAAACATCCTCAAGCATGAATCTTAACCAGCAGACTCTCTATGGGTAGTATAGAATATGGAAACGAAATGCCAGTATAAACAAGCCGGCCTTTTCCCCCAAGACAAGACTCGTTGCAATGCAAGGCCACATCGAAATCCAGTGCATTTCTCCCGTTCGTAGTAGAGACCGAAGCTGCACAATTGGCAGTTTTTGTATGCATGGTCCATCGTCCACTTTCTATGAGAACACACTCCTATTTACTAGATTATGTACTGAAGGGGAGAGGGGGAGAATCGCGTGAGTGGATCCGAAGACTGTATCGTGAGAAACGCTCTTTGGTCGGAGTACGAGTCATCATAATCTGGTCGGCGAAGGCTGCGGACCTCGAGGATATGTTCACGGTGTCTCTGGTGTCAAAATTGAGTGATTGCGTCGGCGTCGAGGTCGCCGATCGAAAGGATGCAATCTAGTGGATGATGACGAACTGACTCCTTCCGCCGTGCGTGACCGTGGGGATAGTACAATGGCTGCTGCTCAAGCGATCGCCCCTCTCGGGAATCTCCAGCGTGCTGAAGTCGGAGGGCCCGTCCAATCTGAAGTCCGCAGAGGTCCGCGAGAAGATACTGCTGCGTCGACGTCTCTCCGGGTCCGATTCGATCAGAGTACTCAAGGCCTTCTCATCCCTCTCGCAATCCACGTACTCGATTTCCGGGGTTCTCATGCGGTCCGAGAGTTTCGAGTTCAATTTGCTGAAAAATAAACGGGACGACAATCATCAGCACGCCGATTTAGAAAGCGCAAAAACTCACAGCTGCCAATTATACAAGCGCCTCAAAATTCTGTCGGCAGGTCCAGCACATGACCACCGGATTTAGACGGCAAATCGATCGCAGAGGCAGAGAGAGAGAGGCAGAGGACTGACCTGAAAAGCCGGGCGACTCGTCGGGTGCGCGGGCTGTTCGCAACCTTCATCCCTCTGACCACGGGCGGGGGAGGGGCGTCCCCCAAGGCTCGGGCCGAGGACACAATCTCCGCCCTCAGGCGCGCCAGCGCGTGCCAATCGGCCGCGGACTCGTTCGATTGTCGGGACTTGGACAGCGAGTAACGGTAACTGACCCTGGGCATGGCGTCCTCCGCCTCGTCCCTCAGCGGCGGTAGGGAAATCTCGGGGATGTAGGCCGCGGGCGCGAATGCGGGCTTGGCCTTGGGCTTCTGCCCGACGACGGTCTCCTTCGACACTACTGCGGTCACCGTCTTCTTCTCCGATTTCGGCTTCGAGCACTTCTCGGAAGCTTCAGCTTGCATACTGGAAACAGCAAATCGGAAGCACCGAATTATCAGACCGCATGCTCGTCCAGCGGAAAAAGACTCATCGAATTGCTAAAAAAATTGCTGCATAGAGAGTGTGATCGACTTGATATGGGACTGTCACGGGGTTCTTACTTACCCAATGTATTTGATGACTTGGCCTTCGTTGTTCCTGATGGGCGACATGGAGAGCACGTTCCAGAATGGAGTCCCGTCCTTCTTGTAGTTCAGAATCTTGCCGTTGTAGGCGGCTCCGGCTCGGAGAGCCTTTCTGATTTTCTCGACCTCCTTTTGCTCGGTGCCAGGTCCTTGAAGGATTCGGCTGCAGGACAAAATGAAATTAATCGGTGAGTTTACGAAGGATTATGAATCGAGATTTGAGAACTGGACGTGAAAGGATCATCAAGAAGCACCGCAAAATGCTCAAATTCGAGCGCGGTGTCGGAGGAATCGACATACCAGTTGCTGCCGATGATTTCGTCGGCCTCGTATCCGGTCATTTTGAAGAACCCTCCGCTCGCGTAGAGAATCGGGTACTTGGGATCAGCGCCAGTGGCGTCGCAGACGACGAAGGCGAGGTTGAAAGAAGTGATGGCGTCCCTAACATCCTTGGCGACTCGTGGAATGGTCTGCGACGACGTGCTTCCTCCCGATGATCTGCTTCCCGAGGACCTGTTGCTCGTTCTCCACGAGACGGTGGAATGACCGTCCCCGAACTCCGTCGAGGCGCGCATGGGAACTCCATAGCCCCACTTCGCTGCTCGCTCCGAAATCACCTCATCAGAGTAGTCGGACGAGGTTCCGCTCCTGCGCCTCATGCTCTCGTCGCCATCGTCTTCTTCCGCGACGGGCCCTTCCACACCCCCGTTCAAAACTCCCTGCCAATGATCGTCCGCTTGGTCCTGCACCGAATCCCCGCCGCGCTTCGCCTTCAGAGCTGTCCCGTCCAGCATCGCTCGCCACTGCTGCTCGATGTCCACTGGCTCCTGGTAAACAGCTGCCACCGTGGTGTGAAGGGAATGCGGCGTCAGAGGAACCCTGCGCAAGCTGACAGCTCCGTCCGCGATGGGAAGAGCCAATTCAACATCGGAATCGGCGTCCAGCGAGAACTCGTGGTCGCTGCCGCCGTACTCGAGAGTGATCGAAACCGGGGAAACGGCTTTAGCTCGGGCATGGAAGGGTCGAGGTCGGGGCAGCGACTTGTCAATTGCAGGCATCTGAGATCGTGACTCCGTCCTCCACAAGCTCGACGCTCCTTTCTCGCTGGACGACGCTTCGGACTCATCCCCGTACAAAGAATTGGGGCGAGCGGGGCTGTCAGATTTCTGAAACAAGCTCTCGACGGTGTCGAGAGCATCGTGCCAGGCGGGGCTCGAGAACACGGGCGTGCTGCCCCTGTGCGCGCTGGCGCCGAAGATCTCCAGTGATCCTCGCGCATCTCTCGAGAACCCGCTGCTGGGCAAAGGCGCAGGCTTCTCGGCCTTGCCCAGAAACCTCTTCTGGAACGGCCCCGGGCTGAGCAATTTTTTGTGAAACGGACTCGGACTCGCTCCCTTCTTCGTCGTCGGCATCTCTCCCCTCCTCCCTGCAACGTTGAATTGCTCCAAAATGTCTACACTCCGACTACATGCGTCCGGCATAGTCCTCTTTCTCTCAATGTCCCTGCCTCTCTCTCTCTCCCCTCCTCCTCCTCCTCTCTCTTCAAAAGGCCCCTCCTCCAGCAAGTTCCTCTCCAGCCTCACCACCCTGGTCACTCGTCACAGTCGCCGGGGTTAGGTCTTGAAAGAAGCTTTTCCGAACAGCTGGTGAATGATTCAGTCGTCCTACCTCACTCTCACTCACTTACTCACTAACTCACTACGTACAGTGGAATGCGAGCCTTAGATGCGGCCCTCGGTCGGGGAGTTCTTAAGCGTGTGAGAGTCTGCGGATTTGAGCCCTGTTCAAGGTTTAGCAGTGTACTTGTCGAGAGGATTGGGGCGGAGATTGGTCAGCTCGCCCTCCTCGAGCTGCTCTTCTGTTCTGGCGGCTGCGTGCCTGCCTGCCTGTAGAAGGAGCGGGTTCGAATGTGACACCGACAGCCGTCGACGGGGCGTCTTTATACGAGGCCTCTCTCCGTCCTCTCTACATGTCAAACCCCCGCGGGGGAGGGGGGAGACGGGGCGTTGCGGCTTCCGCCACGTGGAAATAGGCACGCGACGCTAGCCTAGACCCCTTGCTCGCTCCCCGCACGGTGGCCCACCGTAATGCTCTCCCCTCCGTTCCTTCGCTCCCCTCCCCTCCCCTCCCCTCCTCCCTTGCCTTCCGCTCCAACCCTCCGACGGACACGGTTACACGGTAGCGCGGTAACGCGCACTCTAGCACTCGGTCAGTCAGGAGTAGGGGTACCGACGCCGGGCGTCGTAGGGCTCTGCATACACCGCGGTTCGAATCGACGGGGACGCCCATGTGTGTTTTGCTGACCCCGAGGGCCCCGATTCCACCCACCGAATTCACTCAATGGAAAGCGGCAGAGACGGACCTGCCCGCTTTCGTCCGAAAGAGAGCTGGCCAATCGGGGCGGGACATGTGCAGGGGCCGCTCCAAATCCTTGACCGGATGGCCAAGGGAAAGTCGCGGTGATGTGTTTCCCTCCGAGGGACGTGAGGAATGTGAGAAATCTTGAGGAAATCTAGATGAAGATGGAGGAGGTGACGGAGTGACGTCGACGGTGTTGTGTCGACGAGTGTGTCCCTGTCGACTTCCTATACGCACGCAGGCGGGGCTGGGACAAGCTCGAGTGGCTCGAGCAAGCTTTGTCCCCTGATCCTCGTTCACAAAATCCTTCCGGAAATCAGTGAATAGGTCTGCATCATCATTCGACAGGATTAAGACTCGCTGTGCAATCTTTAGAGATTGTACTCTTCACTGTTGCGACCTTCACGATGAAGAGTTCGAAACTTTTGAGGCATGCATCTTACAAGTATTCACTATTAATGCTGGTGCTACTATTTGTGAAAGACGAGCACATTAAGGAAAGCTACCTTTAGAACCACATTCTCACGGGTTAAAAGAGAGAAAGAGAGAGGGAGGGATATTGAATTAGATGGGATGAACGAAAAGAGAGACTGTAATCCTGGACTGGTTCAGTTCTCCGTCTTATATTGACATAGCTCCATTGTATTATAAGGCCCATCATAGGCACAGCGAACGTCGTTATGCTCATATCCGAACATGAGTTCGGATATGAGCATAACAACGAATGAGCAAATATATGAGCAATATAAGATGAGCAAATTGAACAGAAATAAAAATATCTCCTGTTGCGAAATGAGGAAACTGCAATACTATCTATCCGTATACTATCATTATTGCTATGGTATGATATTTGCTTACATTTTAAGTGATGGTCCCTCTCAGTATTGCTGTAGTCCACACTATTTGTGCACGCACACAAATTCATTTATGAGCGGAAATGAGACGAAATACTCAAAAGAGGCAGTTATATTAAAGCGCTTCGGAAGGGTTTTACCCAATTTTTACTGAAAAGAAAAAGAACAGAGGACAGAACCTAATCTCGCGCCGGCATTAAATCCGCTGGAACCTTGATTGCATCACAGGAGCCATCCGGTTTGCGATTACCGGGAAAGGTGCCCGTCCCCGGCCGCGCCGACACATCTCTCGACAGCCAATGACACAAGACGAGACCCGCCACCGGCTAATTCTCTCAGAATTTGTCGTCTGGCCCGCAGCACAAAGTTCCGTTCGTCCGAAGTTTTGACAGCAGTCGATACCGAGCACAAGTAGTTGGACGGACGTCGGCATCCGTAACCGTGTAGAGAAAGTGAACTGCAGACTGTGGTTCGGATAGGTAGAGAGCCATCACACGCTCAGTTCCGTGTATGAAAGCCGGAATATTCCCCCCCATGGCCCCAATATACGGGAACGACACGGCTGTCGGTAGACGCGACGCGTATACGATCATTACGGAGCGACCTCTGTTGGGGTGTGGTGAATTAATAATGATTCTACGGTGAATAAATAAAAAAATGTTTATCGGGCTTCTATACTCGAGGAACCAATCAATTTGCTTGAAAATTAATCTACTTGTAAAGTATCGAAGAAGAACTGAGGTTTGCCAGGAAATCTGGCACATCCGTCATAAACTGGGGTCAACAAAAGATCCGGCGATCGAATGAATCTTCTCAATGAATCCCATTCTACTTCGAATGCGTGAGCTCCTGCCGAAGTTTGTTACATTACATGTCGGATCAAAATGCGAGAACTTTGGCGTCCAGGCACCACCAGAGTACGGCACCTTGCCAGGGGGGAAAATTATGTTTTCTAGAAGGTGTGCAGATCCTGTTCGCTCTGCAGATTCGGCAGAGGAGGGCTCTGAGAATGAGTCGAGCGGACATTTCCTTGACCTCTGTGCATTACGCCGACAGCGCCTCCTCCTCGAATGGCGGAAACCTACGTGGTTGCCACCTTAAAGCACGATAATGTGTTGTACTTCCACAATGCTTCTCTCCGAATGCACCATTTCGAACTACGTCTTCTTTATAAAGACCCGGATTCTTTTGGAAAGAGAAATCCTGTCTTCATTCCACGGTCTAAGTACAAAACGATCTGTACGAACACTCAAACCAATGGATCCGTGCCAATTTGCAAAATATATATGCATGTCTATAAACCACTAGGCTCGAAAATAATAAAGACGCAAAGCAATAAATCTTGTGGCTCCCTTCTTTCGTCGACAACATTTGGCCCCTTTTTCCGATATATTGTGCAATATGAGGAACCTGAACCGAGATGCTTTTTCCCTGGAAACACGATGGCCATTCGTGACGCGGACACCGCAGCGAGTGGGATTCGTGTACTATGGGAGGAAAAGGAAAATATCGTGCATGAACAATTAACAGTTGGATATCCTATATGATAAGAGCATCACGGAAAAGTGAGATCCTTGACGAGAGAAATATATTATGATATAGAAAGTTCATGCATGAACACATGAATAGTGGTGTTCCAAACATGTGCACTCGATCATACAACGTCATAGGCGAACCGTAAGAGCACATTCGAACACTTCACGTCAGCTTTGAATACATAGCTAACCCTCTGAAGCATATATATTTCCGCAGGTAATACGGGTGCTATGAAAGCGCATTGCCTGGCAATGGGGGCGGAGAGTGCGGGAATGACAGAACCATAATACGAGCCGTATGAACCATCAATTGGCTTGTCCTTGTACATATCCAGGTTTTGATTGCTCCAACTGTTGGTGGAACCTGGAGAAACAATCGTCCCAAAGAATTCTGTAGATCTGCAATGGATAGATATTGCGATAATTGAACGTCATTCTTTATTTTCTTCAGGCCTTGGTGGTCATTTTGAGAGACGAAAAAGCATCCACCACTTATCCTTTGGAAAAGATCACGAGAGAACTCATATGTGTGTCACGCTGGCTCGATAAATGCAGTACAGTTTCTGTAAAATGTAATCATGTAGAGGTCACATCCTCGTTTCATGGTACGGTTGCAACTACGGTCCTTGCAACTGAGGCTTTTGTTTTATCACATCCAGGACAAGTAGATAACAGAAGAGGCTGATACTTTATTTTTTATTGCATTTTCCAATTGTGATCCATTGAAGTTACACAGAAGGGCAGATGGACCAGAATTCAGTCATGCATGGACAAAGTAGAGCCACTCAAAGTAGGCGTAGGATGGGTGTCATCGTACTCATTGCAATAACCTTTTGGCCGCACAGTTCTTAGGACTTTCGTGAAAATGAAACCAAAAGTGGAGGTGTTTAGGGGACAATGTTGATCCGTCTCGTAAGCGAGATTCCCTTATGCAATAGTCGTGCTCGATTTGGTTAGCTGGGGTGCCCGTGCTGCTGCTGTGCACCAGATATTTCTCCTTGACTTGAATCTTGCAAAGTCGTCCGGCAGATGGTGTCAAAGCACCCACTGTACACGCGCTCGGAATCCTCCGAAGACAACTCTCGACGCTCCAGCCGTCTTGCCGTCTGGGCGCTCCCGAATCACAGCACCGTGCGAGAAAGGCAAATCTTCATCGCCATGCGTAGCAGTCCTCGATCTGCAGTGAATACATTTTGTTCAATTCAACAGTGGTCGTCACAGCAAAGCATGCACAGTGCACCGGAAGCGAGAAATTCGAGGCAACCGGCCGTCCTCGTCTGCCACCACTCGTGAACAGCGGACGCTGCAAAAGCGATGGCGACGTTCGGATGAAGAAGCGATCGACCATCCGACTCGCACCACTTCCTTCACTATTCCGCACCTTGCGAGAATGCAAGTCGAGGGGTCCGAGGACAGAAGGGTCGAGGGGTCCGAGGGGTCGGTGTAGCCCAGCGAAGCAGAGCGCAGCACAGGAAACCCATTTCGAATTTGAATTTTCCTCGTGCATAATCTTACCGATGGGCCTATCCTACGGTGCTGGGATTCGAACTCACCGACCGACTCGGGGCTTTTCTTTATTACAGCATCCGCCGTCCAACCTACTTCCGACTGCCCGGCATTATCCCTTCCCTTCCTTTTGGTTCCTCTTGTATTTTGACCCAATCTCCATCGTTAGCTCATGATGTAGATTCATTCAAGTGCACGAGGCAAGCGCAGAGTTCTTTCTTCGAGTTCAAAAAAAAGTCTATCAGCTGCTTTTGATTGGTCTGCGAAGAAATTGGCTGAAATTTGACATGCTTCAAACTCAAGTAACCAAATTTTTTAGAAATTTGATTGAGTTTTTGGTAAAGAATCTACGATAAGAAAATCATTTTTACAGAACCATGTAAATTGGTCAGTGCTTAAAGACAATTTAAACGAGGAGATATATATATATATATATATATATATATATATCATTGTCTTTGACGACAGAATGGTAGCATACACTCTCATCTAAAAATACCATCGAAGACCATACCTCAAGAATTAAGGGAGACCTTGATGTCGAAAATTACTCGGATATTTAGCCATTCACGAACGTGAGTAACTAAGACGTTGAGCAAGTTTGATGAGTCGATTGGTCTCTGCACTCCTCTAATCAATGCTCAGCGGATCCAGTCTATGATTTAAAAATGTACAAACCTCCAATATGTACGATGAATACGAGAAGGGAAAGGATGATGACATATATATCCTTGAGTGACCTATCTAGTCTCACAACGATCACACATCTTATCATATATCCCACTGATTATTTGCAAGGGCAACAACAACAATAACCAAATCAAACACATATGGTTTTGAGTTTATAAATATGATAAATTATAAGGTATAATTTATCATCAAATTGGTTCATACTAGGTTTACAAGGTATAAATTATACCTTGTGAACCTAGTATGAACCAACTTGTTGGAAAACAGGGCTTTTCTATGAATCCTTCTCTAGTACATGCAAAGACTTTACGTAGAACCATTCGTTGTCCAGTGTAGTGAAGCTGCCAAAACTTGCACGTGGTTTGTCAAATTGGTGATGTATCTGTTGCGTATACTCAGAACTTGAGTCCCTTGCCCTTTTTGAAAGAGCTTTGCAATTCTAGAGGTCGGAGCAGGTTTCCGCGGGCTCCTTATTGCTCTCTCTCTCTCCCCACCCCCCTCCCTCTCTCTACACTATATATTCAAGGGCGTAGATGTGAGGTGTATTCATCCCATTTGACGGTATATAGCACCGTCCTAAGAGAATATTCTGACGGTGCTCGGGGTGACTTGTGCTCAGAATATGTATCTGTCTTTTATCTATTCACAGGACTTTGCGAATATCATATTATTTGTAAAGGTATGTTACGTATAAGTTTTTTAAAAATAATGCTCTTATGCTTGAACTACTATTGTTTCGGTCGGCAGCTACTCAAAGCACATGTTGTATTATTATAATAGTTCGCCCGTTGACTTAAAGTCGTGTTGGCCCGATCGATGAATTATCTATTCATGGTTGCATTTCAAGGTTCAGGATTTCGATGACATCTTGCAAAAGAAAAAACAGAGAGTAGTGAATAGTGAAATTTACTACTGAAGCTCCATCTCATTCGAAAAGATTCAAAGGCAACATATTCACTGTCGACGTTAAGGGAAACCGCGCCGTAGCCTTGATACTTTTCAATCTGAGTTCGTGACGTTCACTAACGTTGCGTACACTTAGAGAGTAGAGATCGTGACGATTCTATCTAAGCAGAAATGCATTGCTTAGTTATATCAATTATCATATCATTGATTACAATACTAATTAAATCATTGATAGGACATCAAGAATCTGAAGTAGATAAATATATACAAAACGCACAATTTACTCCGATCTTTTATAATTCTTTAATGAATAGAAGCCACATTGGATTATGATTACACCGTGGCCGTCGTGATATATTAATCCTGTGATATTAACCAGAATTCTATGTATGAGTTATCTTCAATGCGGTGACATTCAAATTTCGTACTTAGATCTACTTTGAAATTTTGCCCAACGCGATCAAAGGCATTCTGATATCCTGTCATGTTTACAATGAGGTCTTACAGACATTTAATAATACAGGTTCAAAACAAAACCAAAGAGACGGAAATAAATTTTTATACAAAGGAATGCAATAAATGTGGGCATGATAAACTTAGCTAAACCTGGTGTCATGTCCGCATTTGTAAAGTTATGTGCTTTTCAGTTGTGGGGATTTACGATATTAAGCATAGCCTATGCTTAATAGCTTAATGCTCTAGCAAGACACACCAATCTCCTATGCTGCATAGGAGATTGGTGTGTCTTGCTAGAGAGATAGAGAGAGAAAAAGGAATGTAATTCTAAGCATATAGCGCTCGTGCAAAGCATTGAGATTTAGATATAAAAATGTGACAAAAAGTACATGCGCGTGCACTCTCTACAATGGTAGAAGTAGGTCAAACTTGATATAAATTTTCACATGATTGTGGTTCCTAGACTAATATTTCAGATTTGGATGTAAAGGTGAGACGCAAAAATACAAGATGTAAAACAAACACGTTTTTACATGAAGATAAATTAAAATTAAAAATAAACATTCAAATTTCAAACCTTTAGTACACTAAAAGTGAAATCAATGTGAACACAAACATCTTCACTTTTGACACATGTAATGCGCTACGTCATGTGAAATAGACACATGAGTCTAATTTAACGATATTAGAGTAAGCTCATAATAAGAATTTAACATAAAATAATTTTTTGTTCTTAATCTAAAGTGACTGTACATATGAATCTCTATCTATGTCATAAAGAAATTAAGACATAATTTAACTTGAAAGAAAATTTTTGAAAAGAATGGAAAATTATTTCATTCATTGATAGGAGAATCAAGAAACTGAACTAGATAAATAAATACAGAACGTTCTATATATTTTGAAATTTTTTAAGAATTTGACGTTATAAGCCACAATGGATTATGATTGAGTAGTGGCCGTCGTGATGTTCATCCTATGATACTTACCGAAACCTTTACATAGAGTATCATTTATGAGTTCTCTTCACCGTTTTCATTCAGATTTCGTACTAAGAGTTATTTTGATTTTTTGCCCAACACAATCAAAAGGACAAGAAATTATTTTTTCTCTTTACTGTAATTTCTACGATGAGCTCTTACATACGTTCAATTAGATATGTTCAAAAGACAACCAAAGAGACGGGAGTGAATATTTATACAAAAGAATGCCTACAATGGTGGGAATGATTAACTTAGATAAACCTCGTGTCATGTTTGAATGTGCAAAGATATGTTCAGTTGTGGGGATTTACGTTTTGAGACAAAGGATATGAGGATGTCTTGCTAGAGAGAGAGAGAGAACCCAAAATGCAATGTACTTTCAAACATTTCAACGCTCGTGCTAAGATTTCAAATCTGGATATAAAAGTGTCGCAAAAAGTACACGGGCATGGACTCTCTAGAAGGCTAGAAGTAGATCAGACTTGTATGACTTTTTCACACAGACTTTGGTTCGTATTCAGATTTGGATGTAAAAGTGAAACCCAAATGACAAGAATGTAAACAATAGAAATTTTGTTATCAAGGAAAATTAAAAAAACGTTTTGATATCAAGCATTTACTACTGCAAAGGTGACATGAATGTAAACACGAACATCTTGACTTTTGACACCTGTAATGTAATATGCCCATGTGAACTAGACACAATGAAAGAGTATACTTTTGCAATGACTTCAAGCTCAGAACTGTTGTAATGTTAGCAATAAGAAATCGAAATGAAAAGTAAATGGAGTATGTTTTGACATATTTATAATTCTATCTCATTTCTAAATTGTACAATTTTTGATGATTTTATGCAACAGAGTGATATTTGCTTGATTATTTTCAATGGAATCTCCTGAATAATATAATTCTTTAACTGCTATGCAATAACAAATCAAATATTTTTTAAAAAATTCAGATAATTATCGTGAGTAAGAAAGTTCACGAATCTTGATGCATTTTCTTCAGTATGAATAAATAAATCGTAAAATATCAATATCAACTAAAAAGATCAGGCAAAATTTTATTCCTTCAAAAAATATTCAAATAATTCTACATGAGAATGTCTAGTCATCACAAGTTTATCACAAAAACTGTAAAAAAAAAGGAAGGAATTTTTTTCTATGCATGCAGCAAGAAATTGAATTTTTTTTATTAATTGATATTTGAATTCAAAATAATTTCATTAAATTGATAAATAAATTTATAAAAATAACTTTTCCAAAATTTAAACTTTCTAAAGTCGATAATAACCATGAAAAAAATCTGCAAAGAAAAATGAAGCCATTATTGGTGAGTTATGTAAGATGTTTTTACTTCTTGAATAAAAAGGTGATTGCGAACTCAAGACCAAAAAATTTGAAAATGAAAAAATACGAGGAGATCGTTATGATCACAAGCTAATGCATAACTCCAAATCAAAATAAAAAATCCTTACATTCATGAATATTGTATATTCAAATCAGCGTTTCAGGTGAAACTAAATTATATATTTATATGAGTGTGACAGTGGTAGCACCTCAAAAGGCTAAGTACAAAGATAAGCAACCATGATGGACCATCTAGTGATATATAATATCCTTCATAAAGATGTAGTTAACCTCTAATCAAGTGGAGTTTCAGAAATATGAGTTTTTTATTTATCAAAAGACAAGTAAAGATATTTGGATGTGTCATGAGTATTACATGGACTTCAAAACCTATTTTTCTTTCAATAACTTCTGATCCCAGATACTCATGTGGCTATATAAATACATTCAAGATATAAAACCTTCCATATTCAAATCAAGGAGGTGAGTGTTATCAATCAAAGATAGGAAAAACATGTTAGAAGTATAATGAAAAAAAATTTCGAAGCTTTCAGCAAATCCAAAATTTTTTAAATTTTTTTTCGAGAATATCTCTAAATAGTACTCCCCCAGTGACATATACATCCTCGTTATTATTCGAGTTGTAATGTGTTGTTTCTAAAACAACACATAATAACATTCTTACACCATTACTACAACATTCTTATAAGAAAATCACGGTGTGAATACCACAAAATATCCAGCAAGGTGATGAAATCCCATTTGCACAAGAGCATTTTCTTCATCTTCTTTACATACAACATTATTGGGGGTGTA